TTTCAGATCTAGAAGAGAGATGTAATCGGTGACCTTAAATTCAAGGGAGGATTTTGCATCGTTGAAGTATACAAACGCGACATGCCAATATATACTCATTTTGGATTGATGTGAATTTGTTAAAAAGATGAGATAGGAGACTCATATTTATACAAGTTTAAGACCAATACGGACTTTAGAAAATTGGTCCCGTCTCAGAAGAGATTCCTGAAATGCACTTTCGGATACACCCTGCTTCATTGTGTAAAATTTATGAAACTAGGGTGAATCCAGAGATGCATTTCCAGATAAACCCATGTTCATATTTTTTTAAACATTTGGAGTATGTCCGAATATGCATTTTCGCAGTTATCCAACACTTTTCATACATAACATGTTTTAGAATAAGAAAATGGTGAAATATTTTTGAAACTGAAACATACATTAAAATCTATGAAAACATATACATTTGACATCATTAATATTAATACAATATTACATACAAAACATGTCTAACCACATAAATACATTGTTGAATAAAAACTAAAATGAATTGAAACATGTGTCACTATCTAAATCTATATGTATGGGTGGTTACACCTTTGACTATTGTTTATTTGTTTCTTTTTCGATGTCGTTCAAGTTGGTGAATTCTTGCATCCTATCCAAAAAATGTTTCAGCCAAGTTTAAGCTTCCCTTGTTAAATGAGTTGTCCATTCCGGTGATGTAAATGGTATAGGGTATCCTGGTTTCAAATAAACTTGAACGAAGTGTCACATTTTTGAAAGTCACCCAATGCACATAATACAATCAATTGGATTTTGAGGTGAGGCAGTACACAGTGGCAAAAATGTTTATGAGAAACTGTATCTTGTCAGATCAATGCACATTATATCATACACACTTTCTATAAGATAACCTGTTTTAGGGAAGCACAACAATTTTTCCTCCAGTGTTGGAGCCATAACACAAGGAATGAGAGATTCATGAATTGCATCAAAATTTTCCTTTTTCCCGTATATACGTGTGTATGATTCTTTATGCACCTTCAACTCCTTGATAAGTTATTGGCTGAAAAATGTATGATTGTCCTCTCCTTTACGGAGCAAAATAGAAACAACTCGATAATCGCATCTACCGTTACCCTCGACATTGACAATTGTTCAATGTATTTGTTCATAAAAACCAAAATCTCTTTAATGAATTGGATTTTTGGTAAAGGTGGTGAAAGAGGTGGTTTGCTAATGCAAGCCCTTTTGAAAACACACTTTTTTTTTTGTGATTTTGAAGTTGGAGAATTCAGAGAAAGTTTGTCAACATGTTCAAAATACAAATGAGACCGCATTGTTGAATTGTTACTTGATGTTGGTTTGACCCTCTTGGGAAAATCTTTTACTTTCATTGGTTGAGATAGTGATTTTAAGTATGTCGTTTCTGGATAAGCAATCTTCCTCATTTGCTCTCTGATGTGGAGTTTCATAGTATCATCGACTTTCAAAAAATTATCAATTCCCATCCGGTCAAGATATAGATATTCGATTTACTGTCTTTCATCACACTATCATCATCAAACTAGAGTCTTTTCCAGTGTGTACAAACCTTATCAATTCATATTTGGCTATCATGTTTCACCTTCTTTGAATTTAGACAAGCACATGGGAGACCATACGTTATCCTAAGTGTGCAAGCACACTTTGAACTATCGAAACCTACATTCTTAGTTTCTTTGAATTCACTTTAAAATAAAACTCAATCCTGCTCGAGATATGTTTTCGACCAAATGTGAATAGAGATTGTTATCTTTGAATCTGTTTTGCAACATTGTGATGCTGCGACCAAATGATGTATGTATCTCATTATGCTGATTTTGAATCATTTGGTTCATAAAATCCCAATCTTTACACAAATCATCCTTACTATTTTCCAACTAATTCTTCAATGTAGCATGGGCAGACTTGACTCAGTTAATTGTTGTATTTCCGAGGTGTTTGACCTGATCGATCCAAGCATAAACAATCTTCTCCTTCACCTGGTCCAGAATTGTACTTTCAATATTTCAAGAAATCTGGATATTTCTCACACACCCTTCTAAAAGGTTTAACAACATCGACATATAATTCTTCCATAGAATAATTTGTTATAACATTCCATGCATCCATTATTGTTTCCATTATCACGCTAGTTTTGGCCATATTTTTTCGTTTTTACCCTTTATTTGTTTGGCCTTTATCGTGGGTTTTACTCGACTTCTCACTCTCTTTGTGAAATAATACCTACAAAGTAATGCATATTAAGTAGGAAACACCTTAGCAACCAAATTCATCAATGTGGTATCGCGATCGATGACAATGACCTTTGGCGTGTTTTCTTTATCCTTCAATATTTTTCAGCACACTTCCAAAGCCCAAGTTAAGTTGTCCTTTTTTTGCTTTCCAAAAATGCAAATCAAACAAAATAAGTCTTCTCGGTAGAGGTAACATCGACAATTTCCAATAGAGAAAGTATGTAATTATTGGTATTATACGTTGAATTGATGATGAGTACATTGGAAAATATGTTGAACAACGTCATGGAATCAAGATGAGTCCAAAATATATCTCGAACAATTTCTCCATCCTTGCACACTTAGTACCTATATATCAACCAGAAGTTTCAACAATTGTTGCATTTAAGTTCTATCCCCCCTTTAACACCTTTGTTAAGAACACGAATATTCTATACTTACTTGATATTTGAGATATTTCTGGATATTTTACGTTTCAAAGTTGCAATTATGTTTTTAGGTTGCACCATATTCAACGTCATGTCAGAAACAATTTACATGCAATGGGATTAGGGGTGGCAAAACGGTCCGCCCACCCCACTCCGCCTTAAGCCCGCCAAAAAAAGCCCGCCAAGTGGAAATGGGCATAAAAATCTAGCTCGCCCGCCAAGGTGTCGGGTTGGCTGGCGGAGGACTTACCCGCCTATTTATTTATTTATTTTTCATTTTTCTAATAGATTAATATGTTTGTTTTTACATTTCAATTAGATTTTTCGCTTATTTTTTAAAATAATTTTTATAAAGCATTTTTTTAACAAACTTTATTTCAAAATATATTGCATATATTTTCAAATAAATGTATAAAATAAAACCGTTAAGAATTGGAATTATTAGAACTAACAAAAAAAATGGCGGGTTTAAGGTGAGACAAGTTGAATGAATATGTGCCGCGCGTTTTGGCGGGGCGGACTTTGGCGGGTGGCGATCTTAAGCAGACGCAAAATTTCAACCCAACCTGCCATTTTTTGGCGGGTGCGCGAGCCAGTCCGACGGTCACGACCCATTTTGCCACCCCTAAATGGGATGACTAGCTAACTTGGCACATGTGTCATGGTTATGTAAACCATAAATCACATTAAATCTACATTTATTATTTGCTAAAAGATAATCATGCAACTTAAAGGGACATTCAGATTTCCTCGAACTGATGTCATCTCGTTTCAACTTTCGCAGAGGAGTTTTGTACTTACCACTTTTTTTGCATCTCAGTGTCACAAATGCATGTCTTATATATGAACTCTTATCAAACTTTCAGATTACAACACCAAACTCCAATTTGAATGCCTCAGTGTAGATCCATTAAAGCATATGATCACAAACATCAAACTCTTATCCATTTGTAAATTGGTTGCTAACATCTACCTCTTTGACATCAACCCGTTTAACATTCAGAGATACAATATGTTTAAGGATAACACCAGGGTGCACCATATTTAAGACAAACAACAATATAAAATAATAAAAAACGATTTAAAATAAACTTTGAACAATTTAATACTTTGCATTTCAGTATGAATCCACCTAGAATTCTCATCGAACTCAATGTAACTTTTCAGCTCAAAAATCAAATTAATGTGAGGAATGAAGAATGATATACATGAACTTTACATTAAACTCCAACTTCTTTTACTACTTTCAATGTGAGGAAATACAAAAATGAAGTTTTGGAATGCAAAAAATTTGATTGAGAATAAAAGAATTTTTTAAAGAGTTTTGAAGGAAATGTGTATTTGATCCCGAAGAAGAGATGCATGATGCTGTTTTATCAAATTTGCCTAGTGATATTCTCATAATACTCTTCTGGAATTGTGAATGACGTTATTTCAAATTTCTACTTCACAAATCTAGAGTACATTTCCGGATTTGTCACTGAATTGAAAAGTTTGAAATTTTTTTTATGAAATGTGTCCGAAAATGCATTTAGAATAAATTTTGGAAAAAATGTGAAATGTGTCTCACTTAAGACGTGCTTTTGTGTAAAAAGAATGCGATAAAAAATGCCCTTCTGAATTTTCAAAGGGTACTTTTAGAATTCCATAAAGTGTTTTTCCCCCTTAGAGTAGGATAAACAATTCCCTAAAACATGCTTCCTTGGTTAAAAAGATTTTGAGCATATTGACCACGTTGCGTAAAAACACAAACACTTGAAAAGTAATGAGATTTCCTCTTAACTTGAGAAGCATATCCAAATACTTAAGTGGCAGTAATACATTCGCAGGCTTGTTATTTTGATATAAACAATTCGAGTATGGGATCAAAATAAACACACTGAATATAATTATCAAAAGAAAACATTTGTGTATAGGTATTTCCAGTTCAACAACATCTATTTCTAACCTAAGAAATCAGTAATGTATCATCAATATTCATTCATACTGTTGAGATTCAGATGTATCGAGTACAATGATGAAAGAGCGAGACAGGGCGGTTGGAAAATCACAATTGTGGAATCATCAGAGAAACGCGAGAGAAAATGAGGTTACCCGTAACATCAGCTACCTTGTTTAAACATTTCATGGCATCATGCTGCTTTATTATATAAACAAATGCTGCGAATTTCAATATCTCTATCAAAAGAATTTGTTACAGCATAGTGCAGATGATGGTGTCAGAAACTCTCATTCCCCGCATATTTTTGTTTATGCTCCAAGTGTCAGGTCCTTAATGCAAGGAGGTCCATTAAGATCCATCGCCGAGTCAATAAATGTCACTATTAGTTCCATCCATGTGCTTCTCATGATCTTCAAACAAGTCCTCAGGAGGGTCATAGATGATCATATCTGGGAAAATCTCTAAAAAGTCGTCTTTTATTTTCTCTCTTAATTCCGGATACGGAATGAGTCCTTTTAATATCACACGAAAAGGCAATGACAGAGGCGGCTCGGGAGATTGTCTCATTTCTTCATATATGTCCATAGCCTCCGAGGTCAATCCACTATCTAGATAGGCTCTAATAATGTCTCCAAATGTATGTTGATCAAATAAAACTCCCTCTCTTTTCAAATCTTCCCACACCCTCTTTGTTTCATCCACCCTTTTGTTTCTTGCAAGCATCATAAGCATGTCCCTATAAAAGAACATGTCCGGCCGATACCATATTTCTTTGCGAACTATATCGTACAACTGAGATTGGAAAGATTTGTCAATAAACAACCAATGCATTTCAAGATTTTAAATCAAATAGGTAAATAGAAGTATACACTGAAAATATTGTTAAAACTATGCATAAACTTATAGAATTGACTATTGAGAGTTTATCAATCTCGTCAAAGTTCGTGCAAAAGAGAGTGTACATATGATTTAACTTATTCATGTGTACTAGAATAGTAATCTCATAAGAGTTAACTCTTAGCTGCTTAAGTTCCACCATCTGTTGATCCCCTAAATCCTCCTAAAGTCGTTCTTTTTGAACCGAATCATATGTAGGATCTTGTTTACCTGCTGATACTAAGGTTTTCTTCTGAACAGTGATGTTTTATTGAAAATTGGAATGAAAACAGTGTTGTTACAATTGATAGACCGGGGTGTTCGAGAGCTTACCCTCCTAATAAACAGTAAATTGAAACTGAATAACTGAATATTCAAATTTTGCTTCCCCTACTCTATTCCATCAGATACAAAGCATACAACAAAATAGACACAGTTACAAACATATACATTTATTGACTTGGGCAGTTTACAAATGCAATCAGGTTGGCCTAACATTATTGTATTTGCATCTCACAGAGAAGAAACTTCAACCATTTCCCCAAGGCTTCATTTCAAATAGATCAGAGTTGTGTGAAAATTGAATTTCTATTCTGATACGACCAGATATTGCCATCTCAACGAGTGTAGTTAGTAAGTTAATGTCATAATGTCATCACTCCAAACTACACATTGCAATCTAATATTTCATACTCAAAAGTATCTCAAAGAGGATTTGTGAGAAAAAATAAATTATCTTAGTAATGCAAAAAAAATCCTGACATTAGCTTCTCTGAGATTAGTTGCTCATGTCGTCACACAAAACTACACATTAGGATGTAGCTACACTCTAAGGTATCTTAAAGGAGCACTACTACTAGGTTGTGGGAATGTATCAAGATCATATTACTCAAAAATGGAGGGATTCTCAAATACAGATTACGCAGGATCTTAGTTAATAATCTTTTATATTGGAAAAGTACAAAGGTAACGTACTAATTTCCGACCACATTTACAGAACCTAACAGTGCGACAGAACTCAAGTCCATTTCAATGAAAATGTAAGAACTATGTAGTACGGACACTTCTGAAAAACAGCGTGTCTGTATCGGGGTCGGACACTTGCACTGACACTTGAGATTATGTTTAATTTATTCATTTTTTTAAATTATTACCGGTATCGCTCTGTCAGTGTTGGGATCAGATTTGAGGTGTCCGTGCTTCATAGTGTAAGAAACATACTGAATGCAAGCATAATCCTATTCAGATTAAAACATGGTAAAGTCATGGCTCTTTATTGTCAGTGGTTTCACTTTTTAACACAACTAATTAGCCGAAAAAGATTTTCCTTTTTTCTTCAACATTAAAAGAGTTTTATGTTTAAAATTTTAACCCATGCTGAAAGTTCCTAAATCTTCTAAGGTAAAGGCATAATTGTCATCAAATACATTCAATATATCACATTTTATCTTAGTTCTTATAATATCTACTTGTCATGAATTGAATGCATATATAAAAATAATGCACAAAGCATATAAATTAGGGTTAAAGGTTGTAAAAGAAAGATAAAAACTGAACCTTCATGGAGAGGAAGACATTATCCTGCCGTTGGAATTCAAAGAGGACGGAGACGAGGTCGGACTTGAGCAAGCGAGAAACATTGGACCGGACAAAGCGGTCGAGACGAACCGGGTCAGGTTGGAGTCTCTTGAGCTCTTTGGTAATGATGAGACCTTCTTTACCCAACTCTTTCTTCCGCCTCCATATTGATAGACTCGGTTTAGAAGCCGAACCGGAAATGGACCGGGAAGAGGATTTAACGACGGCGGATGTAGAAGTTGAAGAAGCTCTTCGCAGGGCAAGTCGCAGCATTAAGGTATCGGATTTCTCTGATGTATAGCAAGTGACGGTGACTCTGTGGGTTGAATCGAAAGACGGCGTGTTTTACATTTTTTCACCGTAAATGTAAGCTACATATTTTTTTATAGATTTTATAATAGAAAAATATATTTTTTAAAAAAGGCTTATCAATAAAAAAAATTTAATAGAAGTTGTTGATTTATAATTAATTATTTATTTATTTATTTTTTACGAGAAATATTATATGATTGTTATCTCGGATTTTTAACACAAATTTTGATTGAAATGATTTGACAAGTTTTGAACTGTTTGATGATTTAAATTTATTATCTACATCGAAGTGGTCAGCAACAACCATAGAATTAGAATATGCATTTTGACAAATTTGTCTTGTCGAAAGATGATGTTAACTCTGGCAAAATTTACAAGTAGTTAGTTAGACCATGAATTTGTTGGTTTTTGAGCTTAGTGAAATTTAGAGTTCTCAAAGTGATGTTATTCTTCACGCGGTCGAACAAGACATAAGCGGATACGATCAGACAGTTATTCTAGGACACGTGAAAGCCTGTCGGGAACGAAGATTGCATGGAGACGAATATGTGATATAATTTGCTGAGTCGACCATTGCAGACGCTTATGTTAGGACTAGTATATAAGTAGTGTTTACTTATAGTTTTAGGAGTCCGCAATTGTACACAAATTCCATAAACTCAAAGTATTCAATTGTTTAGTGATAAAAGAGTTGTCTAAGAAAGTATGTATTTATGTTCAACTTTATGAACTAAATTCTTTACTTTTGAAGTCATTTATTGCATTATTATTTATTGCATTTAAAGTTATTTTCAATTTTCTTTTATTTACGACTTTGAATGTCAAACATGTTTCAAACTCATAGTTTTTTTTTTGCATAATATATCTTGAGATTTTTTCGAGTTTAATCCCTTAAGTGAAAATAAAAAAAAAATTGTTTGCCAAATTTCACAATAAACAAATTGGCACACCTAGTGGACCTTTTGTGCAAAAATTTACGTTATTCTCTTTAAATTTTTTTGCATTAAGTTCTTCATTTATGAAACTTCTCAAATTTCTGAGTGTGCATGAGATCGAGGAGTGGTAGGATAACCAAAAAAGACGTTAGAAAATCAACCAGGAGGCACGTTAGGAGAATGGTTAATGCCAGAAATAAAAACAATGGAGAACAACTGCCCAATAGCATGGGGGCAGGCACGATCGTTGCAAGTTCGAATGAACCAATCGCCTCTATAGCTAGTATGACGACCATACCGTCGACCGTGCAAGAAGCAACGATATTCTCCCCCGTCAACAACGCAGAGTCACCCTGTGACTTCTAGGCCAACTATGGCAAGTGACTTTAGGCCTTTTGTCACAAATTTCATAATGCATATGCCTGGTTGTGAACAACCCTATGGCATGCCAACATTAATGATGACAAACATGCATACAAATGCTTCAACATTTACTGACAACGTGGAGACTGCATATTCGCCACTATTGGCATCTGGATCGGCTATAGGTAACCCTGGTTGAACCATACAACCCCAATTGGGGATGGGATTTGGTTCCTAAGCGATGTCGACGTTCACCACAAATTCGGTGATGGCGATGAGACAACAAATTGACGAAAGTAACCATGCGATGGCTAACTTGCTTACCCAGTAGATGGATAATATATTTAACCCTTTGATTCAAAATATGAATCAGAGTTAGCAATAATTGGCGACTTAAGTGACTCGAATTGTTGATTTCTTTAGCGCCCTTCAGACGCAAGTTCGATCAAGTATGCAACCCAGGTGGTTAGGCCGATTCAAAACAAGGGAATAATCCTTAAAGAAAATACAGTTAATCAGGGGAAACATTTTCTGCCCCATGTAGTCGAACAATAGAGGCCTAGAGAAGATAATTGTCCGCCAGTTTTAATAGTTAATCAAAATCAGTACGTCGACTAAGTGGTCTATCAAGTCTGATATGAAAACCTAGTAGAAGAGACTAATCTTGCAACCATGGTCGAGAGAATAATGGAAAAAATGGTACGAACCTAAGATTGCAAAGGCCAAATTATACATCTCCATTGACGGAGTACGTATTACAGACGAAACTTCTAAGGGAATGGAAAGTCCCTAAGTTCACAAAATTTGTTGGTGATACTAATGAGTCCATAGTCGAACGTATCACTCAATATTTGAATGAAGCAGAGGATATAGCAAATAATGAGAATTTAATGATGAGATATTTTCTTAGTTCTCTTACAAAAAAATCTTTTACGTGGTTTAAGATGTTCCCTGTGCATTCCATTAAAGATTGGACTCGTTGAGAAATATTGTTCCACGAATAATTCTATATGGGGCAATCTTAAATCATTCTGAAAGAGTTGTCGAGCATGAAACGAAAGTTTGCTGAATCAATTGATGATTACCTAAATAGGTTTTGACTTTTAAAAACAAGATGCTTTACCCCAAGTGTCTGCACATGAACTAGTTCAGATGGCGGATGAGGGATTAGATTATTCTATTAGAAAGAAATTAGATACACAATATCTAAGAGATATGGCCCAACTGGAGGATATAGTTCGACAAGTCGAACAATTGAAGGCTGAGAAAACCAAAGTGAATACAAGTAAAAAGAAAATAATGGTTTATGTCGACATGGACGACAATGACCAAGGGTCAGATGTCGATTATAATCACGTTGAAGGAAACAAGTTCGATATGGCCGAATTTGGTGTGATTTTTGACTATTGGTTGCGATGGAGAAATCTTAGTGCCACAAGGCGCAAAAGTGCCACCATTATAACAAAAAAAGAAAAAAGGTTTTTGCAAGTATCATAATTTTTTGGGGCATAAAACTTCACAATTTTTTTTCAGGGATCTTGTCCAAAGTGCTCTGAATGATGAGAGGTTGAAGTTTTCTAAGAGTAAGGCGCCTATGAAGATTGATTCTGATCCATTGTAGGTCAAAGAGGCTTGGTATATGGAACATGTGGACATTAACATGGTCGAAATTACTAAGGATTTTGACATGGAAGTTGAAGAAGAGTCTATCAAAAGTAGCAAAAATCAGATGAAATCTGTCTATCCCAAAACTGAGGAAGGTCAAGTCGACTTCTTTCACTGTTGTAAGGCTAAGAAGTCAGAGGTGATGCTCTGTCCAAGATGCATTGCAGTCTTTGACAAAAAAGCTGCTAAGTAGGCAAAAAATGCTCGACAGACGCAACGGAAGGGAAATTAGAAAGATACAAACCTCAATTATACTTTGATAAGAGGGGAGTCCCTCATAACAAACAATGGTTTCTGAATCATTAGAGGAATAAACTTGTCACCTATGTTCTGACATCCAACGCTCCCCAAGGGAAATGGGTCCGACCTATAGGCGATGGATCTGGCCATCATAAATGGAAGAATTTTGAGATGGGTAGAAGTTCCTCACTAACTTATCGAGAGAAGCTTTAGATTTCTAAGAAACGTTTCTATAGGCCTAACAATTACAAAGGAAAAAATCCAATGTCGAGGACTTTATGGAGAAGGTTCCAAAGGAAGAAGAAAGCGGAGAAGGAGGCTTTAGAATCGAGTAGAAACAAACCATATTAAAACCAAGTTATTGATCAAGTCAAGAAACCAGCAGGAAGGCAGTTATTTTCTACCATGTCGGTCAAGGCAAAAGCGAACGCGAAGGAAGAGGCACCACTCAAAGACGACAAGTTGGTGACAAATAATTTTGATTCAAGGTCGGAGGATGACTTTGACGTCATATTTAATGTGGTTTCGGTGCTTCCAAGGAAATATGATTGTGTCAAATAGGTGATAGAACTGATGGATTGTGATGAGGAACAGATGGCGAAGCATAAACCTGTGTGTTAATTTATCATGAATAATGGCTGTAATAAGGAGAAAAACACTTTCTTTGAGAGACCAGAAAAGGGTATGAAGGGTCACTTAAAGCATCTGTTCATAAGAGCCAAAGTTGAGAATATCATAATTAATAAGATTTTGGTTGATGGAAAGGCAACAGTAAATTTAATGCCTCATTTTTTGTTAAGGAAAATAGAAAAGTATGATACCGATCTAAGGCTACACAACAAGGTGTTATTAAATTTTAAGGGCAAGACGGGGCTTACTATGGGTGTGATACAAGTTAATTTAACAATCAGATCAATAACTAGGCCCACTGTTTTTATGGTGATAACATCAAGGGTGAGTTACAATTTACTCATAGGTCAGGAGTGGATCCATGGTATAAGAGTTGTACCATCATCACTCCATCAGAGAATTTCAATATGGAGAAATGATGGAATCATGGAAAACATAGAGGCATATCAGGGTTATTTTATTGCAGAAGTGAAACACTTGGATAAAATAAATTTTAATAAAAACTTAGTTAACATTGCACCTTGCTCTCTAGTAGGATTTTTATATATGCCTATAGAGGAGGCATTTTATTCTCTCAGCTTCATCCAACCCATGGATTTATATGGGATATTGAGATTATGAGTGAGAGAAGCTTACACATCATCCAGTCAACTGGTTGGGTGATGAATTCGACGATGATGTCTGAGCTCGATGCTTTAGAGCGAATTTCGGCTTATGTTGCTAAAAATAGATTGAAAGCGGCCTTGGAGGACAAAGTATAACACATGGGCATCGAAGCCAATGAAGTAAAAATATTTGATGTGGGGCGACGAATAAAGATTAAGTCGAAATCACATGATGAGCCGTGATTATGAGGCAAGAAAAATGGCGGTATAGAAGGCCAAAGGCTCGACTGCATTTACCATAATGAGCCTTTGGGTTTTGATAAAGATCCCATCGCATAAGCAATAAAGATGTAGCCCCAGGATCCTTTGGAGGAAATTGACTTGGGGGAAGGGGTCACTAAAATACCGACGTACATCAGTGCCAACCTCGGCCCAGGTCTGAGAATTGAGGTAATTAATTTACTTCGAGAATATAAACATTATTTTTCTTGGGATTATAATGAAATGCTAGGTTTAAGCAAAG